AAAAAAAAAAAAAAAAAAAAAAAAAAAAAGGTTCGTGGCACTTCGTGCAAACTGCTGGTTTAATTAACCAGCACAACTTCCGAGGTGCTTTTCTCTGGGGCTGGAAATGCGCTGCGCGCAGTGCGCGGCACAAAAGAAAACGTACCCGCGCGGGCCTCCTTTTGCCTGGCGGCACCAGCCATTCAAGTTTTGCTCCGCCGGCCGAGCCCCAAAAGTTGCAGCAGCATGCAAGCCACGGCTTCAAAAAAAAATGGCCGCTACCTTTTTTCAAGTTTTTCAACTTTTTTGGTCTTTTTTTTTTTTTCCTTTCAAAATCCGGGAACTGGGCCCGTGTCCCTTACATCGTTTTTTGGCCTTTTTTTGTTTGTTTTCTTTTTTCACAAAAAAAAGGAGTATATCATACCATCGCAGGCTGGGAAACGGGCCCAGCGTCCCTCACATCAACAGCCACGGCCCGCAGGGATGAACCAGGCTCTCCAGCATGGATTAACCCCACCGCGGCTGAGCACCCGTCAGCCTGCAACGTCACACCCTAATTAACTCTAATTAACATCACACCCTGATTAACACTAATTAACACCAACCCTAACACTAAAACACAAACCAACTGTACCTGGTCCCATTTGGCTGAATGGTACACACTGCACAGTCGTCAACTGTCAGGAAACATACCACGAGTTCGAACCCTGATGGGATCCGGTCTTCCGGTGAAGACCGTTCTAAAAAAGGAAAAAGCAAAAAAGAAAAAACAGTTTCATGATGTAATGTTTTATTCTGACTTGCTGGTGGAATAGGAACCGGACTGATGCTCAAAAAAAAAAAAAAAAAAAAAAAAAAAAAAAAAAAAAAGGAACCGGACTGATGCTCCCCAGAATGGAAATGGAGTCGGGCCCATAAGGAACTGTTTAAAAAAAAAACAAAAAAAAAAAACAGGGTGCAATGGGTGTGTACACTGTGTAGTACTGTGTACTGAATGTACCCAGTGGCCCAGGGGCGAGGTCCCACTAGCAAAAAGGATAGAATTGAGCTCCTGAATCTGGATGTGTTTTATGCAGAGATGCAGAAAAGCAGTTCAATCTCGATTTCCTGCACATCTCCATAACCTCGTCCAGATTCAGGCATTCGATCCGATCCTCTTTGCTAGTGGGACCATGCCGCAGGGGTCTCGCTGCACTACTCTTGACTCGTGGAAAAAAAAAAAAAAAAGCAAGACTGTTTCAAGAGCTGTTAGCTACAGCTGGTGGAGCATTTGCCCAAGGATGAACCTAAAGTACCTCCTGCAAATTTTTGTAATACTGAATCGTCACCAAACATTTCAGTTAATGCAGGCATATGCCGAACATGAATTCGACCTGAAGGTACAGGTAAATACACCTGGTATGGAAACCCAAGCTGGGGGACAGTAAACACCGCAACTTCTATCTTTTTCAATAGATTTTTTTTTTTTTTCCCATCACGAAGTAAATCCATAAAACCTAAAGTAACTTCTCGTTCGCCTTCCAATTTACCTACCACAGTACCAGAATGCACGCACATGATCAGGTCTCGCTGCACTACTCTTGACGCGCGGGGAAAAAAAAAAAAAAAAAAAAAAAAAAAAAAAAAAGCAAGACTGTTTCAAGAGCTGTCAGCCTCTTGAAAAGGTCCAAAACGGGGTCATCGGTCCACTTACTCTAGAATGCCGAACTCTTGAAAGTTGAAACACACTAACTGTGTGCGGTAGTGGGTTTCTAGTGGTTTTCAAGAGCACTATGGGACATGGCCAGCCTGGGTTGTACGCCCAGAGTTGAGGTGCCCTCTTGAAAGTAAGAGGGGTTCCAAGGGTTCTTGCGAGCACCCTGGAAAAAAAAACGGACGTTAAATGTGCAAAATGAGAATGAATCTTTTGCTAGAACATGGAAAGATACACGGCCATGATTTTCATCTTTTGTGCATGACGAGAGTGGTCGAGCGAGGCCCGTTGTAGGCTGGTGCTCTTGAAAGTTACACAAGAGCACCGTGCACGAGTTCGGTCTATATGTGTATCTGGGTGAACCCTCTCTCTCTCTCTCTCTCTCTCTCTCTCTCTCTCTCTCTCTCTCTCTCTCTCTCTCTCTCTCTCTCTCTCTCTCTCTTGGCTCTCACATGTGGACGGTGTATGCAGTCTTACATCTTCTACTATGACACTGTATTAACTCCGTGGCTGTGTTGTTGTAGACTTGTAGTCTGTCGTCGGAGGGGCATATCTGCAAAGAGTGGAAGATACAGGCGTTTGGACACTAGAAGGACTTACGGGTATAAAAGTACTTAGCGTTTTTTCACCAATTTGGCAAGGCCTTGTAATGTGTAGGATCAGAGGCAGGTACAATGTTATGGCACTGGACCTAACCCGGTCAAATATCGGGCCAGGTACATCCGGTAGCAAGTAGCCTGCAACCATATTAGATGACTTGCCTTTTTTCAGGTCCGGTAGGCCTGAAGGTGAGGCGGGTAAGCCTAGACGCTGCCAGGTGGGAGGCAGCTTTGCCGCTGACCCTACCCTGGTTCAGTGGATATATATATGATTTTGGTTAAGGTAGATTATCATTTACAGTATAATCAGTGAGGGGATTCTGCAGACTGTTGAGGGTTCAGCCTCCTGATGAGTCGGTGAAACTCCGACGAAACAGTTTGCCACAGCCCCTCGTTTATTGTCCTCTTCTCTCTCTCTGCCTACGGTTTACCGGGCAGTTCTGTTTGTGACGATATATATATTTCAAAATTAATATAGTTCAGTGGATATAGCCCCTGTGCACTGGTTCAGTTCGCTTCATGGTGGCAGTCTTTTGTTTTGCAGGGGCGGGGGGAGTACGTTTATGCCAGAACAGAGTCCCAATGGGCAAAAAAGACACGCGCAAGCAAAGAAACAGCCGCCGAGTTCGAAAAGGCGATGAAAGTACCGCGGCCGTGACAGAGACACAGGTGTCATAACTACAGGGTGGGCCAATGGATCTATTTCGCCCACCTGTGCCCATTTGAGTTCGGCGGCTGTTTGTTTCACCCGCGCGTGTCTTTTTTTTTGCCCATTCGGGTCGGGAAAGGTATTTTATCAATTCCCCCGTTTGCTGCTGGACTTTGCGCTGCGAATTTGTGTGGTAGTGGATGGCGCCGCGTCGCAATTGCGTCGCGAGTGTTGACACGACTTGCGGAGGATTTGCGGTGTAAGGAGATTACCCGCGAGTGTCAGGCCTCTGATGAGCCGGTGAAATTCCGGCGAAACACTCATTGCTCTTGTTTGGGTTGGCAGTAGGAGACTCGTGTGTGAGTGGTAGCGCGCCAGTTTTCTGGTACCGGCTAACACTGACCTGGATTAAAGCGCAGTCGTAGCTCTGACGATGTTCTTCGACGGGTCGGGACATGTCGCGTCCGCACTTGTTTCTTTTTTTTTTTTTCCACGGCGGCAGTCATGCTATCCTGCTCCTCTAAGAGAGAGAGATGAGGTAGAGAAAAGGTGGACGTGAAGGAGGAGCTTGGGAGACCTCCATGATATCGAGATTGAGTAGAAGGGACTCTTCACTGCATGTACGGGTTGAGGGTTTGGTTATGGTATGTAGGCTTAGTGCCCACACTAGGCTTAGAGACGAGGAGGAAGACATCTTGTGACTGACAGGGAGTAAGAAGGAGACCTCTATGGTAAGAAGATTTGAGTAGGAGTGAGAGGGAGAAGGGTTTGGTTGTGGCATGTAGGGTTAGTGCCCACATTAGGCGTAGAAATGAGGAGGAAGACATCTTGCAACCGACAGGGAAGAAGAGGAAGGGGAAGGGGAAAACCACGAAGAAGACTCACCTTTGGCTATGGCAGACTTCCGTCTTCACAGTCTCCGATGGGTGGTGGGTGCAGCAAGAAGGGGCTTTTAGGGTTCATTTCAGTGGAGACTTCACACAGGAGTGTGGTGCTGCCATCTAAATGTGATAGAGGAAAATGCCCTTTTGTGATGTCTTCTGTACATCAGGCTTGAATGCTGTTAATGACTCGCCGGACGTTGTAGTGCCACCAAGAAGGGAGTTCGGAGGGAGAAGGACTGAAGAGATTTCGTTCTCAAGAGCATTTGCTAGGGAGATCACTTGTGACATTGGACCCCGCTCCACTATCAACCTTCTACTCGCATTCGGGTGCCTTTCACAACCAGGTGCACACACACACACACACACACA